CGTGTGCGTCACCAACGTTGAGACGCTCGCGAAATCATTCGTCCTCAAAAACGTCGGGTACGGATCGATGATCATGGAGGGGAGTTCCAGTGAAAACGAAGACTCGTGAGCGAATAGGACGCTCTGTTGTAACGGCAAGCACGAGCGACGAACTTCATATCTTGACGCCTCGATGTCGACGCGCGTGGCGACGGCGTCGACGACGGCCGCGCTTCGACGGTCGTCCGCTCCACACGCACCTCGCGCTCGCGTCGTGCGTGTTCGAGCGTGTCGAGAGTGCGTGTCGTCCTCTACTTCATCCTCGTCCTCCAAGTCCTCGAGTCTTCTTCCGCGCTCGCTCGTTCGCTCGCGATCGCACGCGCTCGCCGCGACGTCTCGAGAGCCCAAGGACGACGCGTCGACGAGCGGACGTGAGGACGAACATGGCCCGGACGAGGACACGGCGTCGATGAAGATCGCCATGGGACTCTTGGACTTTTACAAGCGAGAGGTATCGCCGCTGCTGCCGAAGAGCTGCCGGTACGTGCCGACGTGCTCGGAGTACGCGAGACAGGCGTATAAGAAGTACGGCACTTCAAAGGGATTCGTTCTCACGGCGTGGAGACTGCTGCGGTGTAATCCATTGCCGCTGTTGGGGGGGAGCGGTTACGATCCTCCGATGTGGCCGCCGCCGTACTTGGGCTCGGATCCGGCGGAACTGTGAGTGAAACGCAATAGCTAGGACGTTACAACTTCTAATACTAGCGCTAGCTAATGTACTAACTCTGGTGATCTTGTGTCTATTTTCAATAGTCCAAGCACGCCGGCGCGGCGCCCTTACTGTCCGTGTCCAATCGAGCGCTGAGTAAGACTCCGTACATCGCATCGGCGACGGTACCAGACGCGGAGCGCCCCGACCACATCGTCGATAAGTCCCTTTTGAACGACTTGGACGACGATTTCGGGATATTGGATAAAATTTTCAACGTTTTATCCGCCGTCGCCGCGTCGGCGCAGAGCGAAAATTCTCGCAAGCAATGCACTGGCAAGTGTACAGGCACTCCGCTTGGAGGACGCGCAAGCGCCTCGGCGAAAGCTCTCTCGAGCGTTCCTGCAGTGCCGAAGGGATCTCCCGCTGACGCACGCGTGTTCGCCGAAAACGTTGCCAACGCATTGGCGAGATCTCCATCGACCGCTCGCAACCCCTGCGCTAATCTGCACGCGATGGTTCTAGCTTCAGAGACGCCAATAGCAGTGTGGACTGATTCATCCGCTGCCGCCAGTACGAGCGGGATTGTCGCATAAGATATCAGTAGACTCATATGCACGTCGTTCCATCGCTCGTGATCGGTCAAGTGCGGAACCAACATCACTAGTACGCGCACGGATCGCACGAATGTCTGTGATTGGAATAAGCCCTTCATGACGAGCAAGACAAGGCGGCTCCACGAAATCTCCGCACTTGGGAGTTTCTCCGGGACAATCTCAAGCAACTCGTCCAAAGTTTCAACCAGAGGGATCTCCGGGTAGTGCGCGCCGCGGGGTAACGGCGCACACGATGTGATGACATCGAACGTCAGTTCATCGAGCGGGCTACACTTGTACAGAAAAGTATACGCGAGATCAATCGCACACGAATATAGCTCGACGTTTTGCGTCCTCAAGCACATCGCCCCGCACCAGAACAATTGCGTATACATCATCACTTCGTCCGACATCATATCGCAAAGCGATGCCGCGAGCGTTTTCAGCAAATGTTGCGCGAGCTCGCGCGCCATTTTATTTTTCTTATCGTTACCTCCTTCCGAAATCGACGCGCATACGCATGTGGCGGAGAGGAGCGCCGAGAAGGCATCCTCATCCATGGGCACGTTGAGGGATATCAGCGTCATCGCCGACGCGCACGCGAGCGAAAACGACGGTGAGCGTAACAGCCACCGTCTGGCTTCGTTCGCCCATCTTTGCGGCAAATTTTCATCCAGATCGATTGCGAGCGGCAACAGGCGAATCAGGAATCTAATTTTGCTCAACTTCCAAGGTTGGAAGACATCGTCGGCAAACAACCTTGCCAAGCGAAACACAGGATTCTTACCGTTCAATGCGCGCTTATCGGCGGTCAGACCCATAGCCAAATTACAGAGAAGTTCTCCGCAGTGCTCTCGAACCATCGCTTCGGTGGTCACTATGAGCGTCACCACTACCGTATGCGCGAGCACGGGCAAATGGAAACGAAAATCCTCTTTGTGAACCGCCGCGAGCTCGGAGAGAAGAATAATTCCGACATCCGCGGGAGAGATCTTTGATGATGGCTGCGTCGCCGACTCTCTCGATGGCGCTTGTTTTGAGGATTCTCCTTCATCTGACTCCAAGGCTCGGAACGAGATGGTGTAAACCAACTGATCAACTGCTTGCTGCGGTGAAGTTTGAGCGAGCCAACCGCTTACGACTTTCGCGGTTTGCCAAATTTCTCCGTGATCACTCGTCGACGCCATCGCCGGCACTTGTTCTTGTAAGAATTTTAAAGCCGGCGCGACGTTTCGCGGCTGAGCACCCATGGCTATCCACAGCTTTCCGACTTGTTTGGATTGACGTTTTCTCACCTGCAGCGTCACTTGAAATAAAGTTGTCAAAAGTTCATCAGATTTTTCGGCAGCTACGAGATGGGGCAGGTGCAGAGCCGAAATCCAAGGGATCAGAGACTCGTAAGTTTGTGTCCTTTGTGCCTCAGATCTTGCTCGCGTCTCGTTGAGCTCTCTCTTCCAAAATTCGAGAAGAATTCCATCTTCGTGTTGAGGGACCATCTTCAAGAGATCTTTGAGCTCGTCGATAAGGAGCTTTTCGTCTCGAATAGGCGTCGAATCCGTACGCTGAGCTAAACCGGAGCGTTGTTTGATGAAATGGAGTAAAACTTCCGTCGCTGATCGGACATCGGCGTCATCATCCACAATTTTGTGCAGAACTAACGCGATGAGGTGAGCAATCGGTAGAGCGCGCAGAGTATCCTCGCTCAGTTCCGACAGGACGAGGAGATGCATTTTCGACACTTTTTCGAGCGATGAATAACACAAGTCCAATGTCGTCCGAAACGACGAAGGATTCGAGCGCAGGAGATTCAAGATCACTCGATGAGGAAGTTCTAGACCAGGACCATTCGACTCCAAGATGAGCTTGTTTGCCCAAGCAAACACTTGCTTTGGCGTCTCTCGCGCGAACTGCTCACTGACACTCAACGACGCTAACGCCTCGCGTGCCGCGTGAACAACGTCGCTATCTGTCGGATTTTTCGTGTAATCGTGCGCGAGCTCTCCTATGAGACAGTGCACGTAGGCACGGGAAGTCATGTCGCCCGTATCACCGTAAGTCGCCATCTGCTCTTGCCAGACGTAAAATTCGTCCCATAAATTCCTCTGAGTCTCCACGGGAAGACTTTTTACTTTCTGCACATCGGTGAGGACGCCGCCAATTATCGCTGCCGCTGCGAATTTGAGCTGATTTATTTCGATGGATGAGCATTCACTTTTCGCCGTCTTCAGATATGAGCAAACCATCAAGACAAAATTGATGGCCGCATCCAAGCTCGCCGCCGAGTCCTTGCTGGAAGCGAAAACGCCATCGACGGCATAACCTTGATACACTTGACCGAATCCTATCAGCATGCTCAAATCTTCGCGTTTGTTCCTTTTCATGAGAGAAGACCTCAAGCCGTCTTGCAACGGCAACAGAGCGCTCAAAATGATCGTCTTTGATTGCTCGGGTACAATTTGGAATAATCGCATGATAGCGTCGACTTCACCGTTCGAGTATCCTAATCGTGGAATCACCGTTTGTAATAAGGCTGGAAGTGAACCGCGATGACCAACAGTCACAACTTGGCGAATATCAGTACTAGTGGCACCATGCGCCACATCACCAGAGCAAACGAATAACATATAGTTCTGCCAAAGGTTGTACTTGTACTCGGTCGGGTTGACTGGCACTACTAGGAGCTTTCCATCTCCTTCTGTGACCATCATGGACTGAATGCGCTGGTACGCTTGAGCGTGCGCCGTTGTGTACGACGTGGCACCCTCAAGCGCAGCCTGAATACTGACCTCTCGAATGAATATCGATACATCTTCGACGTCCAAAAATCTCTGCACCAGGTCGTACATGGTTTTGCCACGTTGATAACTTGCTAGCTTGGATATTTCTTCCAGTGCTTCGATCGCTCTGCATCGCACAGAGAAATCAGCATCGCAAACTAAGAGCAATGACGCGGCTTCTGCTCGCTCCCAATTGCACTGAGGCTCATCTTTGCCCTTGCTTCGCAGGCATGCATTCCACGTCTTGCAGACGTGAAGAAGTGCGGTTACTGCCGACAGTCGCGCAGCTGGCGCAACATCTCTCAAATTTAAAAGCGTAGATGCGAGCACCTGGAGCACATCATCTCTGTTGTCAGCCTTTGATCGTATGACATGAAGCAAAAAGGACTCAGCCGCGTTCCGGACCGAGACCGATTCGCTGCTCATCATGTTGCACGCAAACTCAACATTTTTCATGGAAACTTGACTCGCGTTTGTGAACCTCAAGCACACGAGAATCGCCTTAGTCACAGAGACAGACGATGATGGCATCCAATCCGCAACGAGCTTTGGCAGTGTCATATCAGCGAACGCAGACAAAACACCATCGGAACGAGCATCGTCAAAACCCACTGTTTCCATGGCGTTGGCTGTCACGATGCAAACGGCGGCACGCACCGAATCATCGTTTTCATCCCGGAGCATTCGCAACACGCGCTCACCATTGTCAGCGCTCGCTTGTTGAATGGCTGTGACGCACTGAGCCATGGCCAGCGGGAGCATCGTATCATCCATATCGTACCCTAGCTTGATCGCCCTGATACACAACGTCAAGCTCTGAATGGCGACTTCTACGACATCCGTTCTCTCACACGACACACCCTGCAGAACACCTCGAATTGCTGTTAATAAAGTTGAAATTTTCATCTTTATATCGATGCCAGATTTGATTCTCGCATCAAGCATTAACCGCCATGGTGTTATCGCATTCGCCGCATATGGCTCCGATTCCTGCGAAATCGTTAGTCCGATGAGGACAGCACGAAGTGGCACCGCCACATGGGCGTGTTTTTTCTCGTTTTCATTCGTCCATCTTAAGACGTCAGCAAGGACTGAGTTCGTAACGTCGACATCCAGCATCTTCGGCGGACCACGCGACAGAAACCGAGATGCCACGACGGTCAGCATCGTCGACAGACAGTGCCTGAAGTCGCTCTTTCTATGAGTGGCCACCCACTTCGATGGATTGAACTTTGTCAAGACTTGCGTCAAATTCATCGACGCGTCACCAAGGGGATCCACCGCGCACAACGCAAACGCCAACCAATACGCCTCCCCTCTCGTAGATTGACTCTGTCGCATTCTTAGTCCATCCGCAATACTCGCAACCAACGCCTCGGGCGCGTTCGCGTAGAGCTCCCGCGTCGCCAGCGAGAGCGTCTCCGCCCGCGTCGCCACGTCCAGATTAACAAACCTCAACTCCTCCGTAATTTCCCCCCATCGCTCGCGATCGGGCGCATCACCATAAGACGTGGCTAAATCCGCCACGTCTTCTACCAGCATCGCGCACAGCTCGGACGCGCACGCTACGGCGCCGAGACGCGCGCGCCGCGCGCTCAGAATTCCCAAAGTCGCGCGCCACCACAATCGCAGCGTGGACTTACTCCGCGTCTCCGCTCGCGCGGCGACGATGCGCTCGAGCGCTCGAGCGAACTCGTCCTCGCTCACTTCGAGCCACCTGTCGAGGTCGAGGTCCAAGGCTCGCGGGGTCCAACCGCACAGTTCGCGCGTTCGTTGCGCAGCGGTGAGCGTCTTGCTCGTCGACGGCTTGTTCGTGACGGCGTCGCGATCGTCCAACGCCAGCGAGCGCTCGAGAGTGCGAGTGAGCTCGTCGACGGTGGACGACATCGCTCGTGCGCGAAGGCGCGAAGGCGAGCGAAGATGCGTGGTTGCGAGGATCGATGTGAGGCGCTTTGGGACAACGCAACGCGCAGATACTGGCGAGACGACGAACGGTGAGGAAACCTGATCATGCTACGAAGGCTACGTTATGACAAATAGAACTAGGCATCACGCGCGCTCGCGTCTTCAACGTCGGTTCTCAGAAGGCTCAGTACGCTTTGCGTTTTCGCTTTTCAATTTTGAGAAACGTGATTAGCGCACGCGGGAAATAATCAATCCACGACGCGCGCGCGCGTCGATGCGCGCGCTTGACGTCCAGACTCACGCCTCGACCGTTCACCCATGAATACACCAAAAAGTAATACAGCGCGACGAGCAGCATAACGAATCCCAAGGAGACGTAATAGCTCGCGCCGGCGGTTTCGTGATGAGTGCTCATCAATTCGAAAACCCCGCCGACGCCCACACACGTGAGCTGGTCGCAGTAATACTTGTTTAAATAATCGTGAACCTTGCGCGACCTCTCCGCGGCACGGCCGCTCTCGTGCGGAAAACAAGACTTCAACATTTTCCGACACTCAGCCTGAACATCCGCCATGTGCGCCGCATCGCAACGCACCAACTTTCCTCGCTCCCCGTTCATGTACGACGCGTGCCTGTCGCACTGAAGCACCTCGCAGTGATCCGCCAGGCACACGTTTGCCCCCGGAGGGATCTTGTCGCCGTGTCGTCTCTCCATATGTTTATCTACGTAATACTCGCTCTTGAACACCTTCCCGCTGTACAGCGACCGCCAGTATTGTTTCGAGTGCCGCACGCGCTCCTTGTGCCGCTCGTGCTCGTAGAACACGTCCCGGATGCGACTGAACGGGCACGTCGCGGCGATCTCCGTCTTCGCTCCCTCGGCGACGGGGTAAAAGAACTCTTCGAGCATCGCTCGAGCCTGACGCGAGCGCGCTCGCGAACACGACGCGGCGACATCCGCGGACGCGCGTTCGGGATCGAGGGACATGGCGAGAGCGAGGACGACGGGTCCCGTCGCTCGGAGTCACCCGCGCGTCGATCGTATTGCGAGTGAAGGACTGAGGTCGAACGACCGAATGCACTAATCCAGTTTTGGCTACCCGGTACCGGTATAATACATTCTAGTGACTACTTGCGGCGAGCGGCGGCGCTAAATAAATCCGCGAATGCAATTCTCTTGCGAGCTAATTTACCGGCGAGCACGTCTTTCGGCGCCGCTCGTTTCGGCGCCGACGCGGGTTGTTCGTTCGCACGAGCGTCGTCGACTTCGATGACGCTAAACATCGCGCCGCGCGCGTTCGCAAAGCGCAGGAGTGGACAGTCGACCACATCCAGCGCATGACCCCATAGAACGTTCGAACTGGCGCCGTCGCCGGTGAACTTGACGAGACCCGTGAGTGAATCCTTTGTGACGAAGCCGTCGCCCTCGTATCCGGCGTACCCGCTCTCGACCGTGTTCTTCAACACTTCCTTGCCGAGCTGTCGCTCGAATACTTTTTGTTCTACGGTCCCAGAGGTGATGAGACGATAAATCGTCACTGGCTTCCTTTGGCCATCGCGCCAAACGCGACCCATCGCCTGACGATCATGCGCTGGGTTCCAAGACACGTCCATTAGGATCAATCGATTAGCGCCGACCAAGTTCAAACCGGCGCCGCCGGCAACGACGGAGAGGAGCATGACTTGTCCGCCATCTCCATTGTTGAAATCCTTGACGATGGACGTGCGCAAATCGACGGGAACGGTTCCATCGAGGCGCGAGGTCGGTAAATCCAATTTTTTGCAGATTTTATCCGCGCTCGCGAGAGACGCGGAGTAGCCCGACACGATGACGACGCGCTCCAAACAGTCGCCGCGATCCTTAAGAGCCTCGAGCATGCGCTGCAAGACAGTAAACTTACCAGAACCGTCTATTCCACCCCCGTAACCGCTCGGTAACGCATCTGCCATGACAGCTTTGAGTTCATCCACCGAAGTCTCAGTCGTTGTCGCGCGCGCGATGGCGTCTGATTCAACCTCGACGTCGAGTTCCTTTTCGGCGTCTGTTTGCACTTCTGCGACCGAATTGGCTTGCATAAGAATTTGATCCACCTCGTTCGCCGCCTGTCGCAAAATCCCGATCGCACACAGAGCAGCGGCGCCGAATGACGCACTATTATCTTTCTTCGTCCAAGTCTCTACCAATTTTGCGCCCGATTCGTACGCCATCCTCTGCGATTGAGTTGGAGGACAGAGCACGACAATTTCTGTCTTCTTTGGTAAATATGCCGCGTTTGTCGAAGCTTTACGACTCAAAATCTTTCCAGATGTGCGACGATTCAGCTCTTCTGCCATCTTGCGCCCTTTCGCTATTTCCTGTTCGCTCGCGCCTCGCTCGTACTGTCTCTGAATCGGTTGCGCAAAATCGCGCTGGAAATCTTCTAAAGAACCGAGAATGCCCGGCTGCGCAAAATCCAACACAGCGGCGTACTCGTTCAAATTGTTCTGAACTGGCGTCCCCGTAAGCAACACTCGCATCGGCGCCTCAATCTCTCGCAACGCAGTCATCGTCTGCGAACCCATGGCGTTGCGCAGTCTGTGCGCTTCGTCGCAAATCATGAGCTCCGGCCTCATTGCTCGCACTCGCGGCGCCAACCGTCTTGCCGTCTCGTATGACATCACAAGAACTGGCCAGCGATCGAACGCGCTCTTCGAATCCGTCCTCGGCTCTGCGCACCACCGATCGCACGCCGCGTCCACGGCCTCGGCATTCCCTTCGCACAGCGACGCCTGCGCGCGAACGCCTCCCAACCATTTTTTGAACTCAGCACCCCAATTTCCGATGAGCGACGCCGGACAAACCAAAACGGCCCGCCGACACGTCGGCTCCCCGCTCGGACCCTGCGTCAACATCGTCCACAGCACCGCGAGCACTTGTAGGGATTTTCCCAAGCCCATCTCATCCGCTAAAACCACCCCTCGCGTCCCCGCGTTCGAGCGCTCGCGCTCGTCCAATCCGTGCAGCGCTCTGTACATCCAACGCGCGCCTGCTCTCTGATGCTCTCGAAGTTTCCCCGACACGTACGGATCGCACGTCACCCCGAGCTGACACCGCGCGTGCTTCTCCCTCGAGCACATCTCCTCGCACTCCGTCGCCGTCGCGAACGTCAGCGCGCCGCGCGCCGAGGCGTCGTGCATCGACCGAACGCGCACGAGCTCGTGTTTCACCGGCGTCTCCTTCACGACGCCTCGCGCGGACGACGACGGACGCGTGGGTTTGGTCGGTGTCTCGCAGACGACGCGCGGGGCGATTGTCTCGCGATCGTTCGCCGTCGCGTCCATCGTTCGTCGTCGTCGTCGCCGACGCGTCGGCGTCTGTCGTTTCGATTTTAAGTTTGATGGTTTCACTTTTTTGATGAATTCACTCTCATCGACGGCGCAGACGCGCGCGCGTCGGGATCGAGCGTCATCGCGATGACGTCGAACGGTGATGACATCTTGTTCAACGCTGTGCGCGTGAACGGGGGCGCGTCGACGTCGAGCGACGACGGTACGACGGCGAGAATGGCGGCGAGAGCGCTAACGAGAGAACTCCTCGAGCGAGTGAAGACGAGCGAGGAGCCGGACGCGCGGGCGATGACCATCGTGCGAGCGTTGTGCGATGGCTCAACGCACGCGCGAGCTCAGGATGAGCTCGCGAATCGCGCGCGGGAGATGGTTCGGGCGTGCGGGCGGTTTGCGAGTGGGCTGAGCGCGGAGTTGGCGAGCGGGCTGGCGAGCGCGCGGACGAGCGCAAACGCGCGCGCGCTCACCAGGGCGCTCGTAGAAGTCGTGTGCGAAGGATTTGATGGGGATTTAGCGAGGGAGTGCGCGAGCGCGAGCGCGCATCCGCTCACGCGAGCGCTTCGGGCGCACGCGGACGCCGGGGCTGGTTTGTTGGAGGCGACCACGAGCAAAGTGTCGAGCGGGTTGAGTCGGGATTTCGAGGCGATGCGACCGTTCATCATGCGTGCACTATTAGAGTACCCCGCTCCGGCGCCGAGAAGCTTGTTTCCCGCGCTCTTACACGCTCGGTTGATGGGAGCGACGTGTGGGAACGGAGAGAGCGCTCCGGCAATTTTAGAGCTGTGCGCCAGAGCGCTAGGAGCGTACAGAGCGCCGACGAGCGAATCCAGGGCGTGGATCGCGTCGGCGGCTGGTGAAGTCATAGATGCGATAGAATGCCGACTCTACGACGTCGGAGATGACTCCGCACGCAACGTTTTGGCGTTGGTGACGGAAGGATTGGTACGGCAGCTGCGTTCTGCGGCGCTCGACGGTGACAGCACAATGCCATTCATCGGCGCTCTCAAACGATTGAGCGAACATGGGGACGTGAGCGAGTGCGTGGAGCTGATACCTTGTTTATCGCTCGTGCAAAGTACGGACGAGACGGCGGCATTGCTAGCGTTACTGGCGCCTCATTTTCCACTCGATGGACCAGCACGTTCGCTGAGTTCAAGGCATGCGTCTGCAGCACTCATGCTTCCGAAGGAATCTGGAGCTCGTTTGGCGCTCTCTCTCGCAATGTCTCGAGATGCACAAGGAGTGAGTATGAATAGCACGCGGAATGGGAGGCAGCTGGGCGACCGTACTCGAGATGGATTCATGAGTCGTACGCTTTCAACAGCTTGGTACGATGGTGATGCTGACAGTATAGATCGAGTGCGAGCGTGCATCCGGGACGATGATGTCACATCGTGTACGCTAGAGCTTGCGTGTCTAGTGCACCCTTCGTCCCATGTGCGCGAGTGTGCTGCTGAGAAACTCAGGGAAAAGCTTTGTGGGAAGGCTGCTCACGGGACGTCTGAAGTCACGATGATATTGTTGCACCTTCACACGGAGTGCGAGCGTTCAGCTCGCATCGATGATGCCGCGAAAGCTGCGCTGGCAATGCTGACTGCGCTAGCTGCTGGAGCATCGGACTTCGTGGCGGCGCCCATCGTTTTGCGCGCCATCGCTCCGCTTATGAGCACAAAACCAGGCGAGAGCGCGCCTAGTCCGCGACTGCATGCTCTCGCACTGAGACTTTTGGCTGAAATGTGGATAAATAACCGCGAATTCGGGGCGCGCCTGAAAGGGGCGTTAGAGGATGCATCGACTTCACGCGAACCGGCGGTCGTGATCGGATGTGCCAGTGCCTTTGCGGCTGCCGCAAGAGCTCATCCATTCAGAGCCACGGAGTTTGTTCTATCTATTCAAGGTTGTTTGAAGTCGAAATTTCCAGCAGCGCAGGCGTTAGCTCTGGAAGCGATCGACACTATGTGTGAATATGATGCGCTTGATTTTTTCCCGGCATTCAAAGTGGTCACGAGGCATATTCCGAGCCTCCCTCAGCACCCATTGGTGGCACAAAAATGGATTAGACTCATTCGACACGCCGGTCGAGACGCCTCAAAGTATCCCGACGCGGCAGTGACTTTCATCGAGATTATTTGGAACGCGATAAATACATCGAGTCATCCGAGGGTTCGAGGCGAGGCGTGGAGTTCCTTGAGTCTTTATGACTCTGAGCTCATATCTGAGATTGGTGCTCCTTCGATGTCGGAAATCGCACAACACGCCTTGTCAGAAAATCTTGGAAAACCATTCGATGGTGCGATGGCGATGCTACGAACCGTGACGAAACAGGAGTTTATTGCTCTATCCCGAACTTCCTTGATCGCGAGAGATTCGCAGCAGCTGACGCATCCACCTCCATCTGACCCACTCATTTATCGAGTGACGCAAACAATTCCCAAGAAATTGCTGGACTCCCAACCGTGTGCAGGTGCTCGTTTACTGATGTTTCGTCCACCAAAAGGCCGGTCCGAAACGTTGATGAGTAGAGATAAAGCCGAATCGTACCGGATCGAGTTCAATCGAGCCGCAAAGGAAATGCGTTGGATTGATTGGTGGCACGGCGGCCTTTTGTATCGCTCTTGGACTCGGTTCTCCAAACGTTGGTTCGATGCAGAGGTGTCTGCGAGAAGTGGAGGCTGTGATATTGACGACATGCGTGCGGAAGCTCGAGCGAGTATGAATGCGACGGCGATGAAATCTCTCGAGGACGTGACCACCCCTGACGAGTTACAAAATATTGCCTTGTTCCTTGTGACACCAGCTCTCGAGAGTGAAGGCGGTTTTGGCGCGGAATTGGGTGACTTTCTGCTCTCGATACTGCAAGAGAAGATGTCTGTGGTCGGTGCTGAGCGAGGTTTATGCGTCGCACTCGGCATTGTTGGAGGTTCGCTCGCAGACAGAGGCAATGAAAGACTGCCCACCAAGATTGCCGACGCACTCATTCAGCAGTTGAGCGACTGTCAAATAGACGGTGCGGACAAAATGGGCGCAGTGGCGGAGGCTCTTGGTTTATTGTGCCATGGTTTATCACGCGATGTGACTCAAGGTGAATCATCGTCATGGCGCGTCGATCTCACTCATCGCATCTGCAGCGTACTTTTCTCATGTCTCAACGCACTTGGCGCGTCAGTACCATCGATTCAACTCTTAGGCATTCGCTCAAGTTCGGATGGAATAGTAGCGCCCAAGGGAGACGTTTCTGACGCAATCGCCGGTTCTTGTGTCGGTTTATCGAGAGTGTTTTGTGCTTTGGATGTTTTCGACGATGAGGCAAGGAGAACGACAGCGTGGGTTGAATTCTTAACGAATGAGGTCACCCAAGGAAGTTTCCCCCACAGCTTGGCGCTACCGGTCGCGCTGAAGCCTATGCTTGATCGAAAGCACAATATCCAGAGCGAGACTGTCGCGCTGACAGCCATGACAACGACGGCGTGTTCCGAAAACGCCCTGATTCGAGCGGTCAGCTGTGGTATCATGGGAATCATGCTTGATCATGGATGCGCAGTTCCGATTGAAATGTGCCAACGCGTTCTCGGTGAGACATCAGGTAAGATGCGAGATGACACCACGATTTCGAGCGCGCGAGCATTTTTCGCATTAGCTCTCTCCAGTGCACTCGGTGCACCTTGGGATGGATATGTCAAGTATGACGCACGAGTCAACGCAACATCTGATGAAAGTTCAGTGTTCGCGGCACCACTTTTGTGGGGCGGCATTCAGGGGAAATCTCAGGCGAAAGGTATCTTGAAGACAATCGAAAGCGTTGCTCTTGCGCCAGACGAAATTGCACTGAGATCATTGAGAGATATTTCTACGTGGACACTGGCGATGTTGTCCGATAGAGTGGCACAACTTGCGGTGCTTGTTTCCTCCGGAACACATGATTCGAAGTCTTCTGTGTCAAACGACACGGTGATTGGGTGCATGATGCAAGCCATTTTGAATGTGAACGTCGCCCATCCGGACGAACGTCAGATGCGGGGCGCGGCTATGGCTTTTAGCGTGCTAACAGAGTTAACGCGCCTGCCGAACGCCGGTTGGTCAAACGCGTTCAGTCGTTGGTGGCGAGTTGCGACATCAAATCAACCAGATGAGGCAAAGTCAGCCCGCGAGGCTCTTCAAAGCGCGTGTATTCGCATGTGTCAATCGCACCCAGAGATGTCTCTCGGAAGACACGTGTTGGAACAGATTGCCACAACGTCTGAGGCCGAGTTCACCAATCTATCAGCAGAGGCACAATTATTGATTATGCGCGGCGCTCCGTCCGCATGCTCTTTGAACGCAGAAGGTGGAGTGACAGCGGTTGAACGATTCATCAACATGGCTTACCTCTCACGCGTGGCCAATGGATGCGTGTCTGAACTTTGGAAGAGTTTGATTAGCGTCAGCGAAGACGATGTTGCTTTCGCCGCGGTGCGATCTCTCGCGTCTCGGTTGGACCTGACGAACACCCACATTTTGGACGAAGCATCTTTGTGCATTAGTAAATTCAAATCATCGACGTTGCGGGCCGAGGCCGTGCGGACGCTCCGTCAGGAAGTGAAACCCATCATCTGCGCGAGGTTGTTCAAGATTGGACAAGCTAGAGCCGAGACGCTGATATCGCTCGCGACGTGGCCAAAGGAGACAAGAATGTTGACGCTGAAGCTCACCGCAGGACATATCGCACGTTCAACGTCCACGCTACGCGCGCAGATGATGCACGAAGCGGTCAATCTCGGGGATTGCACCGCTATCCCTTGCATCGCCATTCTTGCGGTCGCCTGGGGACCCATGTCCGCCCTCTTGAATGTCGCATCCATCGAGCAGTGCACGGCTGCCTTGCCGTGCACACTACCACATCTACTTAAAGGTGAACTGTCCGGTTTGAGCGACGCGATAGTGTCCAGCGCACTCAGGAATTTGAAAGGGGCGCACGCGCGAGTCGCCATCGATGTCTTATTAGAAATGCGGAACGACGTAACGAACGCAGTCTGGGCGCAAGTCGTTGACGCCTTAGCGTAGCCAATCTGAATACAATGCAATTAATTTACAGCTATTTCCACGAAGTTCTTCGCGTATCCAACGGTCTTTGCCCAGCGCTCCGCATCTTCTCGACCTATGGCAACCATTTGTTCGAGTATCTCGTCGCTCCCGGGAAGGAACGCGTACTTGATCGTGTCGCCCTTCGTGTAATCCCACTCGGGTCTCGGTTGTCCTCCTGCCGCGTCAGGCGAGATGAGAAGTCCCGCCGCATCGTCGTCTCCCCATCCCGCCCAGAACGACGCCTGCTGCGCGAAGACATCACCGGTCTCCGTCCCGTCCCCGGGTTGTGCCTTGCGCCACGCGTCTAAGAGCGGAAAAGGACACACACGGATGCTCTTCTCGGCGGTGAGCGGCTTCGGCGTCAAGTTGTGCCAACCGCCGTCGACGCACCATTTATCCCTGTATCGCCTTGCCGGCCACCCGCAGTAGAGCGGAATGTGACACGACGCCAAGAGCGCCCCGATCAAATCGTCGTACGTCTCGAACGACGACACGAGCTCACCGTCCAGGCCAAACTCTATCCCACGCTCGCCTTGCACCACCCGTGGCGACGACACCGAAACGAATAAATTCCCTCGCGAGCACGTCACGTGCGCGTCCGTCGGGAGATTCGCCCTCAGAGCCTTCTCCAGCACGCCGCCCACGCGCCCGACCACGCCGTTCACTCGCGTGTCCGCCAAAACTTCGGATAAGATGCGTTTGCCGTCAGCGGGCGTCTTTCCGCACGCGTGCAAAGCGGCGACAAGTGAGCCCGCGGACGCGCCCGCCACCGGCGTGTCCTCGCGCATGACCCCGAGCTCGACTAAGACCTCCCACGAACCGACGAGCTGCGGAAACACGAACCCGGCGGCGGAGAAACCGACGCCGAGCGGCTCTTTGGACGACGACGTCGACGACGTCGATGACGACGAAGACGACGCTCGTGCGAGGACGCGAGACGCTCGCGTGGGGGCGCAACGAGCGATTTTCGACGTGATCGCTGGAGCGGTCGATTGCGCGGCTCTAGCGGGGACGGACGCCATGAAGAGCGAGCGCTTCGAAGTGCGGCGTGGTGAGAGCGACGCGCGAGAGGTGAGAGCTAGGTGAATGCGTTACGTTAAATCGTCGTAATCATCATCGACGACGTGCGTCGTCTGCACGGTGTGAAGCAGACGCTCGGATCCGAACGTGGTAGAGATCCGGGGATCGTCGGCGGCGTTGTATCGCCTCCTGACGAGCTCGCGAAAGAACGCGTGCACGACGTCCAAGTCCACGTGACCGAGCGTGGCGGACGTGCGCAAGCCGCCTCCCGGGGGAAGTACATCCAACGATCCCATCCCAATGGAGGATTGACGGCGATGACCGAACGAATCGGACACGCTTGAAGCTTCGCCGACGGTTTGCGGGAGCACGAACCGTCTCCGCCGATGCAAGAGTTTGCGCCACAACCTTTGAATCACACCGCCCAGACCACCCCCCCTCGCGTCACCGTCCCCGCTCTGTTCTAAGTCTATTTTATTCGCCACGATTAAGCACGGCACGGGTAACCCACCGAAACCGTACAGGACGCACGCTAACTCTGCGCTCGCGAATCGCTCGCTCGGCGTCCGCGTCGGCGCGGAAAACGTTCCCATTCGCGCCACCTCTCGCGCCCACGCCTCGCACCGCGCCCCGCTCGACCGCGTCGACGCATCGTGCACGATGATGACGCCGTTTATCTCATCGTAAAATACCCCACGCTCTCGCTTATACTGTCGATGTCCTCCCACGTCCCACAGTTCGACAAAGTACCCGTCGTCGCGCGTCGTCGTCCCGCGCGTCGTCGTCGCGTCCCCCCCCCCCC